CAATGCTATAGTCGTTCCATGGTTCTTGAACCTGAAATAAACAGTCCCATGTCACCCACACGACGGAAAACAGAACCCATTTCGTTTGTGTTTGGATTCATTTTGCTTGGGTATAGTTTATTCTTAAACAATGCCCAATCAAATTCATTATCAAACGCCTTGCCATTTCCCTTAGCAAGCGCTCTTGACTGCTGTGACGGCAAATAATACCTGCTACCCCTCAACGATTCTGGAACTTCTCCACTAGAAGATAAAGATGCTTGTGCTGCACGCAATTTTCGAAGCTGCACCGCCATGCTTTTAATTTCTTCATTAGTTGAATGCAAAGCAAGTGCATCATTTATGATTCGTTCCGCCTTCTCAAAATCATCTTGATATGCGACAGCAGCAGCCCATGCTGCGTAACCCCTAGCACCTGCAGAGGAAAGAGATTTTGCCTTGGGTTGCAGAAGCGCCGCCTCTCTTCCATTATATTCTGCCTGCCTAAAATCACCATTCAGTAACAAGGTAATAGCCAAATTTGCATGAATAACAGCTTTTGCATCTGCGTCATGACAAAACATCAGTGCGCCAGCCAACATTGAACTTGCGTCATCGTAGTGGCCACAACTAACACAACCTTCTGAAACAGTTGTTAGCAAATGAATCAATTTCTTTTCATCAGCAGCAGTAGTATCTGGAGGGGAAGCGACAGCACCCACAAAGTTACCCAACTCCGGAACCACTGGGTCGATATGCTGTGTAGACAAGGAAGAGTTGTCTGTCTCTTCTTCAGGCAGCAATTGCTCTAGATTACTTCTAGCCAAACGGCGATGTGGTGTACTCCCTTCTTTCTCAATCAATTCCTTGTATTCAAATAGGTCATCTAAGAAACGTTCCTTTAACACTTTACTAGACACCACCGCACGAAGTCCAGTAGGAGAAATTCTAATACCAAGTTGCTTCTCAAATTTCTTCATTGGCGCTAGTAAAGGCATCACACTTGGTTGAATTGCTCTATATCCACGCGTAGACTCCTTTTCTGGACACGCCTCAGCTGCATCAAACAAATCTTTGCAAGCATTCCGGAGCTCCGCCAGTGGATCTTTCACAAAGCAACAAAGCCACTCCTCCACCTCAATCGGTACATGCTCCTGCTGGTAAGTTAACAAAAATTCCTGCAAACGAAATGGTGTTTCTCTGCCAGTTGGAAAACATCCTAGGGTCCACCAATATTTCATTGTATATGGCCCCGGCCCCCGTGGCCCGGGAAATCGGTACAAATACAATGTCGGATTCATGGTCATATGTTTTTGGTGTTTTGACCCAGGACACCATCCGCCTCTTTGATAGCTACGATAGACACGACTGTGAAAAAGCATACTGAGTGTTGTTGTTATTTATTTATGTATTTATTTTTGTGTATATTTCTGTATGTGTATGGCTTCAGAAACAAATAACTCGCATCTCCCGTTAAGAAACATAGTAAGAAGCAATAAGAAAAAAGGACAATATATATATATATATATATATGTAGTCATTTCATAACTCACCAGTCAATTCCTTGCGATTTTATTCTTACCGTTCCTTGTTTCAAGCTTCTTAGTAAAAAAAAACAGGATTATTGGGCAAATTGCCTCAGAAGTCGTAGCCAATTGATGTACTCCTCTTGCTCAAAAAAGTGTGCCTGAGCCATCATGTATTCGGCAAACCCATTGTTCACGCCCCGCTCATCGAGATAGTCCAATATTTCGTCAGAGAAGTCATCATCCAACTCACTCATCATCGGTCCACGATATCGAGCATCCCTGCAGCGTCGACAGAAAAGGTTACTCTTTTCACTACCCTTCACGGATAAACTATTCCTGTTCGCCCCGGCTGAAAGCGCGCCATAAGCATCATCCAGCTCATCCCTGTTGCTGTGAATCGCCAATGAATCCATCACCAGCTCCATGTCTATGGAAGTTAATCCAAACTCTAAAGCACCCTGAAAGCGATGCTTCTGAATGAACAATGTAAAAAACAAATATTCTTCTTCCTCGCGTTCTCCGTTGTCCATACGGTATGTTCCCTCGTATTCCTTCAGCTCCATCATTGCCAGAACATGTAGATCTTCTTTACCACAATCGCGAATCTCGACCGTTTTTCGGAGATCAAAACTGTTGCTGCCTATAACATGTTCCAGCTTCCACCCTGCCGGAACCGCAGGTTTCGGGGGCAAAAAGTCACGAAGTCCCTCCTCATTTTCCTCACGAACCGTTAGCATATGAAGTTTCCGATGACGACGAGGCAGCACCCGGCGTTTGGCCGGCTGCAGCGCTTCCTCAGTTCTCACACAAGCCTCTGAAACGTGGGAAAATAGACGTGTTAGACTCCTTGGCTGGCAATACGAGAGCAAACGACTCATACTAAAAAGGGAAGGCCCGAATCGGAAGAAAAC